ACTATACACCGTGGCAAGACTAAACATTATCGAGTGTTTTGGTCTAAACACTTTGAGGAACTGAAATGAAAGAGGGACGCCCTTCGCAACACTGCTGATCTGACTGGAAGAACAGACGACGTACAATCCTGGAGAGGGCAGTCAGCTGTGCTAAGACAAGCCGTCTTACAAGCTATTTGGACTTCCTTCGACGACTTCTTTTTAAATATAAACTTTCAAAGTGATAGCTAACGCACTTTTAAATTCCTAGGTAACCTCCAAAACAACAGGTTAATAAAAATGAAAGATCCAATACGCTTAAACAACAAACTGCTCACCACCGACTCCGAAATAGCTAACTACTTTGCAAGGTTCTATCCCCGTAAGCAAAATGAAAAACCCTTTTGTCAGAAAATCTTTAAGAGATTTAAAGATACAAGTAAGACAGTTTGGTGAAGTTAAGGAAGACACGACAACACCAAATAATGTATTTACTGAACCATGCATACCTTGTGAACTTAATACTGCGATAAAACAGCTCAAGTGCAAAAGGCCTCCTGGTGAAGACGGTATTCATCCAGAAATTCTAATTAGAATAGGACCAAAAGCCAAGGAAACCATGCTGACGATTTTCAACAGAATATGGGAGACAAGTCTCGTACCTAACCAGATGAAAGTTGACTTAGTAATACTAGTACAAAAACGGGTAAAGACCATAGCAACTTTGACAACTATAGGCTTATCTCCCTCCCAACCGTGCTGGCTAAACTTATAGAAAGAATGGTTAACACTAAGCTCACTTGGTTCCTTGAAACAAACAATATTCTTAGGAATGAACAAGCAGGTTTTAGGCAGCAATGATCAACAAACCTTTAAGTAGTCACTTTCTCTCAACACATCAAAGATGCCCTTGATGCAAGAAATACCCTTACGGCTGTTTTCGTCGACTTCAAATCAGCATATGACTTAGTATGGAAATAGAAGCTAATTCTAAAATTGGCAATGACTGGTATTAAGCATAACATGCTAAACTGGATCAAAGCATTCATTGAACAAAGATCATGTAAAATCAGATGTGGAAATGCTCTATCAAAATCCAATCTTTTACAAACAGGTCTTCTGCAGGGAGCTGTCACAGGCTGCACTCTATCCAATGTCTTCATCAATGACATAGCCGAATGGGTACAGNATAGGTTTGCAGGATTTTCTGCATTTGGATCTTTTTGTCCGGAGACATTCCTCCAGCATTCCACTGGAGGATCTGAAGACATTGTGATTCGCCCTGACGAGGGCGATTTTTCTTATAGCCTTTTTCAAAGCTAATCATAATTAATCGAAGTCAAAAACGAATGCCGATTGATAGACTTTTTTGCCGTAAGAAAATACGTTGTCCAGGGTGCACCACGAGGAGGTAAGTCTATCGCGCACCCCAAAAAAATAGGTGGAAGTCACCACGCGCTTTCTGGGCCACCCAACGCACGCCATTCACGGGCGCGATCCTGCTACTGCACCACGTGGGGGCTTTTGGCTGCTGAGTTTCCCCCTGACCCATTACACCCCTCGTTAAGCAACCTGGAGACAAATGCCTTCCGACAGGATCCCCATATCGACGCCGCGCTTAGCACGGACGCCCGATCCACATGCGCGCACGCAGGTTGGAGCTCCCAGCGACGGCAGTTTCAACCACCCGGCCTCCAAGTTGCTGGATTACAGGCGCACGCCGCTACGCCCAGCCGAAATATACAAGTAAGAGAGTTTGTTGAAATTATGGAAGACGTAACAATACCAAGTAATGTATTTATTGAACCATTCAGATCTAGAAAACTTAATGCTACGATAAAACCGCTAAAGTGCAAAAAATTTAGTACCGAATAAGGTATTCATCCGGAATGTCTAATTAGAATGGGACCAACAGCCAAGGAAACCATGTGACGATTTTCAACAAAATCTGGGAGACCAGTCTCGTACCTAACCAATGGAAAGTTGCCATAGTAATACCAATACTAAAAAAGGTCAAAGACCCTGGCAACTTTAACAACTATAAACCCATCTTCCTCACATTCGTGCTGGCTAAACTTATGGAAAGAATGTTTAACAGGAGGGTGACCTGGTTCCTTGAGACCAACGGTATTCTTAGGAATAAATAAGCAGGTGTTTGGTCACGAATATCAACTAACCAACAAGTAGCCACTTTCTTCCAACGCATCAAAGAGGCCCTTGATGCATGAAATACCCTTACGGCTGTGTTCGTCGATTTCNGGTTTTAGGCAGCAATGATCAACAAACCTTTAAGTAGTCACTTTCTCTCAACACATCAAAGATGCCCTTGATGCAAGAAATACCCTTACGGCTGTTTTCGTCGACTTCAAATCAGCATATGACTTAGTATGGAAATAGAAGCTAATTCTAAAATTGGCAATGACTGGTATTAAGCATAACATGCTAAACTGGATCAAAGCATTCATTGAACAAAGATCATGTAAAATCAGATGTGGAAATGCTCTATCAAAATCCAATCTTTTACAAACAGGTCTTCTGCAGGGAGCTGTCACAGGCTGCACTCTATCCAATGTCTTCATCAATGACATAGCCGAATGGGTACAGACAGTCACGGGCATCAAGTGCTTACTTTATGCAGATGATCTTGTTCTATGGTATTCCGCCCTTAAGAAAAACGCTTAAGAGAGGACCAAAAGTGCCATTAATTGTTCACTTAAACTACACTCAATCTGGTGCGATAACAATGGAATGGTAATCAACATCACGAAAACTGCATTTCAAACATTTTTTTTGGCCCGTCACAACATAAACCCACTTCTAAGGTATAAGGATACTACACTAGAAAAAATCAATGAGTTCACTTTTTTGGAATGACGTTTGACACAAAGCTAACGTGGAAAAGTCACATTGCTAAAATAGCAGAACGAGTCTCCAATAAACTAAATGCACTGAAGCGTCTTGTTGGTAGCGTATGGGGCTGGGCACGCTCAACTCTTAACATCACTTACAAAATGTTTATTAAGTCAATAATGTTGTATTGCTTTGAGCCACTCATTACTGCTCCAGGGATGACAAGATGTTTATTCAGCCAATAATGTTGTATTTCTGTAACCCACTCATTACAGCCACAGAGGTGACATTCAACTGTGAGCCACTCATTACAGCCACAGAGGTGACTCTCATATCAATACGAGAAGGCACACAACCAAGCATTACGACTAATTACTAGAGGAATAGACGGCCACAAAGAGGTGACTCTCAAACCACTCGAGAAGGCACACAACCAGGCATTACGACTAATTACTGGAGGGATAAAATCAACACCCATTAATGTTCCCTTATCAAAGAGAAGGGGGATCTTTATGAAAAACTACTGTGCTTTTTCCATGTTCAAATGCTAGAGCGTTCAAGAAAATAGACCAAGACACCTAAAATTGCTAGCTGGCCTAGTACAAAAAGCAATGGATATAAAGAAGATATAGCAAATTCCTAACCAACAAGAAAGCCTCTCTTTGTTCCAAAGCCCATTAGCACACCCAGTAGTACCATTTTACATCCAAAGTCATTGACATTCAATGAAAGCGGACAAACCAGCAGATCAAAGATGCTTACTCACACTTGAGACAATCAGTGCAGATAAGAGTCTCCAGGTCATCACTGAGCGGTCGAATAAACGTTGTGTTTACTCTAAAAAAATATCTTCTTCGCCGCATCAGCGGTATAAAATTGATCCACATTCTAAAATTCCCTGTTGTCACGACTGGATTTCTCGAAATCTCGCAATTCAGGTAATCGAAATTCTCGTGAATAGACAAATAGAGAGAAAATCAATTTACGCGAATGAATTTTTTTCCCCAAGGATCTTCCTACTGATTGAAGGAAGGAAATCAAAACCTCACCAAAAATGTCTTAAAATTTAAATTCCTTTAAGTATTTGATAGAGGTGAATAAGGGGAGATTTGAAATTTCTTAAAGTTTCGTTATGAAATATAGACTTGAACAAAAGGAAGAGATACACTAGGTGAATTACACGTACATGGAAAAAAACCGATGTCAACGCTTTCGCATTAGGAACAACAACTACACAATTTTAAAGATCAAATTCACTATTTTTTGACACGGGCTTCAAGTTAATTATCATAAACAAATAAGATTGTTTCGGCTTTAACAAGAGGGTGGTGACTGTTGGGAGGAACATATAATTAGGGTTGAGGAGAGTTAACAGTTTTTGACTTCTGACTTTCCAGTATCTCTGAGTTTCCGTCTAGGAGGCACATGTAGATAAGTGTATATTGTTATTTTAAATGCATTAGAAATTGTAATTGTCCAGTCCAGTCGTTTCTTTTGATTTGCGGATGGTTCGGATGAGTATCATATAGCTTTATCCTCGGATTGATTGTTCGGTTCATTCTTGTCCCATTCGGTTGTTTTGCTGTATGAGTAGTACATGTGTTTCAATTAATCTTAACCCAAAATACTTCTTGATGGTTAGGAAGGAGGACAAATCAACCAAGGTTTTGCCAAAATTCGACAATTACCTATTGACTCCTAGCGACGTCTGGGTTGGTGATATAGAAACAAACGTCTCAACGCACCATGGGAAGGGAATAGAGGAGCTTATTATTGTTTGCTTAAAGCAAATATCGAGTGTCCAACACCTCCTTCATCACCCGCTCATTGCACAAAGATGGCAATTTGCAATTTAGAGAGTAGTTACGTAGTACTTTCAGTGATTGTATAATGGCAGTGGTGTAATGAATTGAGACAATGGTAGTCACGACTTCTAATTTCACCAGTTGATGAAAGTATTTAGAAAAATTACCAAGAAGTATATTTGTGCTTACTTTCAAATATTTCAGTAAATGTTCACGAAATATGTAACATTGATAAACCTCATTCCAAACATACATTCATCTTGGATAGATACAGTCTAATCTCCTTCTCTCTTCCTTTTTGTTCGAATTCTGGTGGTCTGCTTGTGGTCAGTGTTTCGCATCCACATTACAAAAGGCGTGAGGGCAGTGGCCCTACGAAGTGAAGACGAAGTGGTGGGTAGTTGAATATATTAGTGGCTTTGACTCAAGTCAATATTCCATTTGCTACATGTCACTCTTAATGCAAAGGATATGCGGTTTTACCTGGGAATCGGTAGTACTTGAGTCTGTAATTCGTAAAATTGGCTTCATGATTGCGAATATGTCTATATCATAGGTATGCAGCACTTTCTGGATTTAGATCCTTATGTCTTGTGACAATCCTCCAGCATTCCCTAGAAAGAGCCGTTGAAGTTGCAAATCGACCTAAAATGAACGATTTCTGTTAATGAAGTTTCGTTTTAGACTGATCGTAATAGTTTGAAATCAACTGCCGAATTATAAACTTTTGCAGGGTGGACCACTTGAAAATAAGTCAATCGCATTCCCCATGAGGAAGAAGAAATGGAAGTAGAAATGCAGGAAAAGGTTGGTGCATAATAGTTCCTGGACGATTTACCTACCCTACTTCCCCTTCCTGTGTTGTCTGTTTCCTCAACTCCACTTTAAACAACTTCCAGTACTAATTTCATCTTCAGCAATGTGTAAATCCATGTTTCGCTTCAGATCCGCCCTTTGTTCTCATTATAGCATTATGTAAGATATGCCTCATAGTTTCGGAAATTTAGTTTTAAGCCATTCTCCGCATTCGAACTTAAATTATTTAATTTTAGAATTAGCGAATTTCCTACAAACGGGAGAATGTGGCTCACTGGTTTAGGGTTATGATTCTCGCTTTGGGTGCGAGAAGTCCCGAGTTCAAATTTCGGCTTAACCCACGATGATATCCTAGTAGCTAATGATAAATATCATAGATCCTGTCATTTGATATAAGTAATTTAGGCTGTTAAGTACAGTTTGGAATGTTGTATTCATTGAAGGTAAGAAAGCACTCTTTGAAGTTGAAAAGGAGGTAAGGTTATTGAGCATCCCCGAGTAGGAAAGTGATTTGAGGAAAAGAGGAGAATTTAGTGATGAAGGTGAGATGAGTTGGACACATATAAAGTTGGTAATATGAGGACATATCCTTATAGAAATAGCTCACAGACGGTACAACTGGGTTGTGTGAGATGGCATTGATTGGATATTTGGATGTTAATTGCTTAGCTTCATGTTGGTGGTAGTCAAAGTGGTGGAGCATAAATTTGCAGAAGTGTGAATTGAGGAGGAGTGTGGCAAATTCTAAATAATAGTCAATTTATTCACCTAAGTAATGAACTCCAAATTAACGGACTGAAATTCACATTTGTAATCAATATCAATACTAAAATAATTTGGCTGCATTTGAGCATTATAGGCTGAAATCAACTGGACTGTAAAATTATTACATTGTCTGTATTTCTATTGCTTTTCCTATTGCTCAACCTCAATCAAAACCATCTATACATTTCTTGCAACAAATATACTTAGGACGAATATAATTTCTCATTATTTGATACGCCTTCTGCCATTTTGTCCTGTTAAAACGGCCTAAAAACACCATTTAGTTAGGTAAACAATACTAATTTGTGCAGCAGTACCTTCTACAAATTGAAATCACCTCCATCTTATTCAGTAGTGAACAATAAATACATTTATCAATGAATAAAAAAAATCCAATTTAAAGTAGTCTGCAGGCCCTGTTCCACGACTCATTCTGTGTTTTAGAGAAGATGAGGGAAGAAAGAAAGCGAGTGAGAGTGAGAGAGATTGAGAGAAGATGATGAGCGTATGTGACCAATTGGCCACACATTGTTTCCACCCACAATCTTAACACTAATTCATTCATCCTCAATCTCTCTCCATCACCCTCCAAGGGAGTTGTTCTTCATCATTCATCCTCTTGAACTCCCCTTCATCCTATTCAGTGGTGAAAGTAAATACCTGAATCAAGGAATAATTAAGAAAATGGAAAAATAAATGAATTGAATTTGAAGAGGACTGCAAGCTCTGTTCCACGACTCCAACTCTCTTTTCTAGAAAATGTAGAGGAAAGAGAGAAAGAAAGAAAGCGAGTGAGAGTGAGTGCACCACGTGGAGGTAAGTCTATCGCACACCACATATTTGAAACTAAAAGACTGAAATGTGGTTGGGGGGAGGGGGGGAGGAGGGGAGTATGATGATTACCTAAAGATGGCTCCATAAGTCGCTTTTCTTCAATGACGTGTTGGCGTAAAGCTGTTGCATGGAGACTTTTGCGAGAACGGAGGGATAGTACTCTCCGACGTGACATAATTTGAGGTGGAACAAGCTTGCACGCTGGCACATTTTCTTTCTCCGATTGAGTTTGATGATCCTGAAAGTAAATCAAGTAGAGTTTAGAGGCCTGATTTTTCAGAAATATACACAGTTAAGCATCTATCCTCATGCGTTAAAGGAGTGTTAGTTTTAAGCAGTAGACAAGACTTACCAATTTATGTGATTTATGCATCAAAAGATATGGTCTTCTCGACGAGGAGCGGCGTCTACGCCAACTATTTCAAAGAAGATGTAGCGCCTCATTAGAGTCGGCTGACACAGTAGAGTTGAACAGGTTCTCCCTAGCATAGCAAATGAATCGAGGCATCAA